AAGGGAGGAATATTACCCCGGATAACTATTTTACTAGCATTAAATTAGCAGAAATGCTAAAATCAAAAAATACAACTATGGTCAGCACAACGAAAAAGAACAGAAGAGAAATTCCTATATATTTGAAAATATACGTAGTAATCTTTATTCATCGACAATATTGGAACATGGTAATATCACAGTTACCATCTATCAAGGCAAAAGAAACAAAAGGGTTTTTCTACTGAGCTCATTACATTCTACTGTAAAAACTGAAGACAGTCTCAAGAAGTTGCCCAATTCAATAGTATTTTATAACGCAACAAAGTATGGTGTGAATATTCTTGATCATATGGCTTCAAAACTCCCAAAGATCCCCCCCAGTCTTCAGAAAAAAAAAAAAAAAAAAAAAAAGAAAATGTATATAAAGAGAAAAAAGTGTCAAGTACAGAGATGCAACGAAAACAAATCTCAAGAATATAGTGCGTTTTATTCCAAAGTTGTGTGCGAAAAATGGACTGAAAGAATTATTAAAAATTACTTTTGTATCAACTGCATTAATTCTTAATACTTATGTGTAATCTCTAATATTTTAAACATTAAATAGAATTGAAACAAAATGCTTTACATATTCCATTCAGCTACACAAATAATGATATAACCGAAACATCAGAGAACATTTCTCCTTTCTGTATTTAGACAGTAAATCATCATCCGAGTAAGCACATATAAAAATGTTATTATATAAATTGTGTTTTATTTTAGTTAACATTAGTTTTAATTTGTTAAACCATTTATTTCAAATCAATTCTTATATCAAATTAATGAGTTATTTGAGTAATTATAGTATGATCCAATTGATCGATACATTTACAGTATTTTAAAAAGTCAATAAACTATCATGTGATATTAAATATAAATTATGAAATACGTATAAAGTACATAATTGTACTAATGTATGGCATTTAAAATTGTTTTACCGTTGTTATTTCAGTACTTTCATCGAAGGGTTAAAATGACCCCTCACCGCCATTCCAGTAGGTAAGATTTTCCCGCCATTCTAGTGTTAATGAAAGCATATTGGATTATATATACGTGTAAAAAGTCAAGATGTGTATCCAACTCATCAGTAAGAAGACATGAATTCCACCAAGTTTTTGTAATATATGAAAATATATTATACCTGTGATATGTCTGTCCTTACTCGTTTTGGTTTGTCTGTATTTCAGGGTGCCCCTTGGATTATTGCCAAGTTGTTGTTTTATTTATTGCCAAATTGTTGTTTCATTTATGGTGACCTGAGTTACTGAATGTTATGGAAACCCTACTATGACAAGATTGCGGTGAATTGGACTAATGGAAAAATATTTAAGGGCTTATTTCTGCAATGGATGTCATTTAGGAAGTATGTTGCATATTTTGTGTTTTGCATCGTAAAATGGCTGCTGGTGATAAACTGGATGGTATAGAAATTTGGTGGTATAGAATGAGAGAGCAGGAGGTTTCTTTTAAGTAGTTGAGGACAGAAGAAAACAAACTTTGTTGGATGTAATTTAACGGAATAGTTTACCAGGAACGACGAACATATCCAACTGCTGGAAGTCGTACGGTCTTTTTGATAATGGCTTTGTTCACTTCTCAGTAAATTAAGCAGTGACATTTAAGGATCTGGAAACTGGAGACAAGGAATTTTGTGTGCCACAGACTGAAGACACAAAAATTTCTAAATATGCTAAGTCGATATTTTCCTTTTTGTAGTATGTTTTTGCGATAATATGTACTTCCTTTTTTATGTTATTGCATTATGCGATTCAAAATGCAGTTTATTGAGCTTTGATTGACTACAAATTTTGTTCAATTTTGGTGATGAGTAACTTTGTTTTAACATTATATGACGTGATCCTTCTCCTGATTTTTTTTAAGTGAAAATAGATTGATGTGTACATGGACAAAGTCAAAAAAGTGCGTAGTGCTGAGTTTGAGCAATTCTCCAATTTTTTTTTTTTTTTTTTTTTTTGAGAAAAAATTGATTGATGTGTACTGTCCGACCACGTATTCCAGATTTATGTAACCATTCCGTTTGGGGGCGGAAATGAGCATATCTATCAGTGATGTAGGAGTGAGTGCAGTAACCTGGTTAGATTTAAAAGGTTCTTCCATTTCACGCTCTATCTTTTGAGTGCTGCGCAACAGAAATATTAACATAAAGTAATAATCTGGTATCACTAATTTTAGAAACAGATAGTTCAGTGATGAACTAATAACATAAGGCAATTCAATATTAACAAGAAGTAATAATCCGACATCACATATTATGCTCAGTGATGAACTTAATAAAATATGCATGATTATTTGATCTCGGCCGGTTGCCTCCAAAATAATTATGACTGTGATACTTCTTTAAGAATTTGAAGTAAACTCCAATAATGGAGCTTTTCTTTTATACTAAAAAACATGGCAACATACAAACAAGAGAAGAAAAGGTAAGTATGAAAACTTATTAAAAAAAATAATTAAATGCTTCGTGCGAGAAAATGCATGCGGCTCTCGAGCCTGCGTTTCAATATCGACAGTAACCTGTACATTATTTATTATTCATCTATTTCAAAAGGAGAGATTAATATAGATATTAAAGCTGTTACAACCGCTATGACCTCCGAGAGGGAAAAATACCCACGCTTTTCCCCCACACTCCTTCAATTAAACTGACCCATCTTGGTTCTCAGCCAAACTGCTCTTGCTAGTGTGGTTAGACAGTACATGGACACTGAGTTTGTGTAATTCTTTGATTTGTTATTTTGGTTTTGTACATTGGCCATCTTGAAATTGTGCTTCACGATTTTACTTATCTAAATTTTTGGTTGTAAGTGTTAAATTGGGTGCCCCTTTGATCAAAGACAAATTTCATTCAATTTCGGTTGGGCAATTCCCAAATTGTCAAATCCATAGGATATCTAAAAAAGGATTTAAAAATTCAACTAATATTTCAATGGTGTCTTAAGAAATATAGAACTATATAAACTTAAGCAATCTGAAATCAGCATGTACGCTAGATTTGGTACGCTGTTAATGGGCACGTTTGCTAGATTTGGCTTTTTGTGCATACATTTTCACTGCAATTTTTTTTGCAGTGCTCAAAACGGAATAGTACCATTGGCTTTTTACAAAATTTTAAACGACATTAAAATGTTTATGCCTTCAAAATAAAAAAAAAAAAAAAATCCTTGGACTAACATTTGTCAACATTTTTTATGTGTATACTGTATGTTGTCGTCAATAAAGTTAGCTTGGCCAGATGAAAAAGCAAACAATCTTTGGCAAACATTCAGATTTTAATGTAGAATATTAACCATTATTATCCCCAAATTATCACTTAGTTTTAATAAATTTCGATATGCTAGTGACTTTTACATTACATTACTATAAATTCCACAATTAGCACAGGAAAATAAAATTTACGTATTAGAAGCGAAGTTTCTTTTCCATATTCAAAACATTCCCATTGGCGATGTTTGGCGAGGGGTACATTAACCCTACACCAATTTAATGATAGCTATTACGAAAGAAATTAGCTGGCACTTAGGTTATTGTCAGAGTCGTAGCTAGGGTTTTCAGCGCCCAGGGACAACTGATGATTTCGCACCTCCTACTGCTTGCCAAGGATGGAAAACATTTAATTCTTAAATGTTGTAACATCAGTTTGGCGCCCCTTGGATTCTGCGCCCGGGGACAGATGCCCTCCTCTAGCTACGCCCCTGGTTATTGTACATAAGAATTTCGGTAAAATCCTAGTACAGTCAAAAGTCGTTAATCGGGACTTCGGCGATTCTGGATTATCCATCATCAGTTTAAATCTGGTAAGATGGCATGCAGAAATTATTAAATTAAAAATATGAAAACGTAATTTATGAAATAAAGAACAATTATGATCTAAAGGGTATCAAAATTTACAAAAAAAAAAAAAAAAAAGTTTAATATTTATTTGTTTACTTTATTAAACACTTCTTTCAATGTAAGTTGTTTAAGTTGCTTCGTTTTTATGTGATAATACATTATCTTTAATTCTCTAAAAAGACATAATTTCTTGTTCATTTCCAAAGTTCCGTTGTTCAAGTCCTATAATTGCTGTGTCGAGAATACCGACTAATTTGTCAATCGAAATTTTTTCGTTTTCAATAATCTCTGTTACTTTCTTCACTATCAGAAGCGAATTATAATGACGAGGAATTTGATTTAAATCATATCAAAAACGGAGTACATCGAGATGAAATACTACATTTAGTAAGGAATTATAAGCCAAATAAAATAAAAACATCTGCCCTGAAGATAAGGATAGTGCTGACAGATCAACTTCCAATTCATAGTGTGGCGTTAAAGATAAACAAAGGATATGCCTTTATCCATTTTTTGCAGCAATTCCACTTTTTGTTTAATGGACTTCGAAACATACTTTCACTTTGTAGATCCTTTACATATTAGTGAATATATATCAGAAATTCTATTTGATATAATCAAAAGTTCAAGATTACTTTTATAAAATTGCTCTAACAGTTTGCAAAAAATAATAAGCTGAATCCAATTCGAAGATTAAGGAACAATGCAATCTGCAACATTAACTGAATTAGATAATTTTAGCTTAGCTTAAACTGTCCTTTATACATTAAACGCGCATTCGTAAATGTATTTTGCGCACGCACACACGCAAATTTGCAGCCATAAAGGTCTTACGAGCAAGTTTGTAGCTTAGAGATCCGGATTATTGATCATTCCGGAGTATGGGCGTCAGAATTAACGACTTTTGACTGTATACGGTGAAGTCTTGGGGCGATTTTGAAAATTATCGCCAACAACCAAAATGACCCGTTTAACTACTCATCGTATATGTCCCATTTACTGCTCATCATAAAGTCGCCAAATCCCTTGTGCACCGGATACTAGGATTAAACTAAGAAGTTCACCTTACGCGCACATTATAAACATTTGAGAAGATATACACTCTAAATGAAGGAGTAAATACTTACTAGGCAAAGTTGAGCGCCTGAACCAGGTTCCCAATTAATTCTTCGGCAATTAGTTACCCAAATTTTTCTTCTTTCTTGATTTTTAGGAAATTTTACCAATACATGACCTTTCCGTGAATGATTTGAGCAATCACTAGCTGCACATCCGCCCATTTTACCTAAAAAAGCGCAAGAAATTGTTGCACCGCTAACTATGCAACCGCCATTAATATTCCCGCTTGGGGGTCCCTAATGGCGGATGATTCAGCTTGGTGCTTAGAATAGCCAAGGAGGTTAAAATAAATTCCTTGTATATAAAATCTTTAGTATATACAAAGAACGTCTATACATATTCTTTGGTATACAGTAGTCTTACCTTTTCTCCATTTATTGATGTGATTTGTGCACCTCTTCTTCTTGAAGTAAAAACATCTGATTTTGTATATTTGCTATCTGAATATAAAATTTAATTACACCATTGTTATTTAATTTTATTAGATTATATTTGAAGAAAGTTCCTTAAGACTGAAGAGAAAATTTTTTCTTCAAACTATTTTTTTACGAAACTATTGGTTTTGAAAAATATTTCTAAGCAAGGGGCGTAAAAACTAATCGCTTTAACAACTTTATGACGTAATTTTGTTACATGTGTGCTGTATTTATTTGAGACCTTAGCTTGAATGTCATGTGTACAAGCCATAAATTGTGTTGTAAAATCCAAATGCAATGAATCAGCATATTCCTTATACATTGAGTTGGATGTAGTTCAATATCGTAGATTTCAGTTTGAGTTGCAAAGTGTAGTATCGTAATACTTTCGCTCTGTCACTGCTTTTTACTGTGGAGTGTTCAGTTTCGGTGCGAACATGCATCAAGAATAATTTACTTTTTGAGATTTTTCATTTGCTTCATAATTATTAATAAAAGTATATTCACGCATAGAAACGTAATGCATATATTTTTTATATACGACACTACATACTGTAAAGCAGATGAAGATGATCCTAAAGATGCCATAATTTATTTTTTTCCAATTCAGGTAAAACATTCTGCGGAGATCACATTTACTTACAAACCTTGTAACTGTTGTGGTATAATTTATCGAAATAAATTCTTACGTTAAGGAAATACTTTCTACACAATAGATAACAGTTTATGAGCATTTATGCATTTAAAAGTGTTAAACTCAATTTTTTGTGTATTGAACTGAGGAAGAGTAATGATTATTTTTTATTATCTGTAAAATGCTTCATTTCAAACATGAAGCGAAATTCATTGTAGTGAAGAAAAGAAAGATGCCAGAAATTAATTAAATTTCTATCTCTTATACTGTAGTTATGCAAATTTTGTTTGGTAGTGGTCTCAGAAAATAAAAAATTGTACAACAAATTGTTTTAGGAACGTTGGAATATTAAGTTGTAGCAAATATTTCAAGTAAAATCTAGGCAGTTGTACTGAAAGAATAAATAAAAACAAAGCTTGTTATTTGTGGTTTATATCATTTCTAATAAATTTGGCCTTCATAATTAATTCTCCTCCACTCTCAATATATATTATTATGAAAACATCATTTATTAGAATTGTTCATGATAAATTTCATGAAAGTTTGTATTGTTTCAGGCTTCTGAGACCCAGCGTCATTCATTATGCTGTCAGCTTGCTGGAGTGGCTAAATTTGTAAAAAGTACATTTTCTAGTCCATCAGTTATAGCTTTAGATCAAGGAAAGTTTGTATTTCATTGGTGTGGAAAATATTTGCTAGTAAGTAGTAAATTAATTTAGATGTTTCTTATGTTTTGATTTTGTTAAAAATATTTTGAGGAAAGTGCAGAATCGCTCACTTGAAAATAACAAATCAAAGAATTGCACAAACTCGGTATCCATCTACACATTGACCTATTTTCACTTAAAGGAAAATCACAGAATTGCACAAACTTGGCATTGCGCATTCTCTTGACTTTGTCCATGTACCCATCGATATCTGCCATACAAGTGCATGATTCTGCACCTGAGCCAATATTTTCTTTAGTAACTAGTGAGCAATTTTTTTTTTAATGAAGGAAATAAATTGACCAGATTTTGTAAAAGTTAAAATTTTAAGTTGTCATTATGTTTAGAATAAAAATTCAAAGTCCGTTTTATGTAAACTTGTCATCCAGCTTTAATTATATGGAACTGACAACAGTAATGCAAGACCATTAGCCATTAAAGGGAATGAAAGAAATAAGAAAGCCATGTATATACACTGTGTACACATGACAATTGTTTTGATTAGCTATTAAAGTAACTTTGATATAATGTTGAGAGAGAGAAAATAGAAAACCGGTAAAATCCTATGAGAGCCCACATCCTTGGTGACAAACAGGGAAAGCGCAGAATCACCCACTGTTTTGCGCGTTTCTCAAAATTGCCAACTTAAAAATAACAAGTCAAAGAATTGCAGAAACTCGGTATCCATGTGCATGTCAACCTATTTTCACTTAAAAAACATTCCGGAATTGCACAAACTTGGCACTGCACACTCCCTTGACTTTGTCCATGTACACCTCGATACCTGCCATGTAAGTGGGTGCGCCAAGGGTGTGGGCTCTGCTAGGATTCAGCTTAGAAAATCTATTGCAGAGAATCGGTAAATGTAAACACTGCCAAAAATGGCGATAACAGTTTAAATCTAATAATCCCACAATGGGTTCTTCATAAGTAACCATTCCTCTTGTGTTCTCCCTGCCTTCATTCATTGTTATTTCCAGTTTGCATGCTGTAGTACAGTCAAAAGTCGTTAATCCGGACTCGTCGGGACTTCTGCGATTCCGGATTATCGATTTTTCCGCATTATAGATCATCAGTTTAAATCTGGTAAGATGGCACGCAGAAATTATAAAGTTAAAAATATGAAACTGTAATTTATGAAATAAAGAACAATTATGATCTAAAGGGTATCAAAATTTACAAAAAAAAAAAAAAAGTTTAATATTTATTTGTTTACTTTAACTTTATTAAACATTTCTTTCAATGTAAGTTGTTTAAGTTGCTTCGTTTTTTATGTGATAATACATTCTCTTTAATTCTATAAACAAACATAATTTCTTGTTTATTTACAAAGTTCCGCTGTTCAAGTCCTATAATTGCTGTGTCGAGAATACCGACTAATTTGTCAATCGAAAATTTTTTCGTTTTCAATAACCTCTGTCACTTTCTCGCTATCGGAAGCGAATTATAATGACGAGGATTTGATTTAAATCATATCAAAGACGGAGTACATCGAGATGAAATACTACATTTAGTAAGGAATTATAAGCCAAATAAAATAAAAAACATCTGCCCTGAAGTAAGGATAGTGCTGACAGATCAACTTCCAATTCATTGCGACAAAGTTTAGATAAACAAAGGATATGCCTTTATCCATTTTTTGCAGCAATTCCACTTTTTGTTTAATGGACTTCGAAACATACTTTCGCTTTGTAGATCCTTTTCATATTAGTAAATATATATCAGAAATTCTATTTGACATAATCGAAAGTTCAAGATTACTTTTATAAAATTGCTCTAACAGTCTGCAAAAAATAATAAGCCGAATCCAATTCGAAGATTAAGGAACAACGCAATCTGCAACATTAACTGAATTAGATAATTTTAGTTTAGCTTATACCGTCCGTTATACATTAAACGCGCATTCGTAAATGTATTTTGCGCACGCTCCCATGCATATTTGCAAACGCATGCGCAGAAAGTTTGTAGCTTTGAGGTCCGGATTATAGATCATTCAGGATTATGGGTGTTCGAATTTACGACTTTTGACTGTATTAGGAGAATTATTATTTTAATCTTTGAACTGTTTGCATGCATAATTTATTCTTCTTGTTATTCTGTTTGATTTTTACACCATTTTTTTAAAAGTGAAGTTGCCAAAAATTGGTCTTCACAAAGAAAAACCCAGCAAATTGTAGAATACTTTTTTGGCGTGAAATTAACAACCAAAATCAATTCACAGAAATTTCAAATGCGATTAAGTACTGTTTTCTTGTAGATTGTATATCTGGCACAGTTTCATTTGTGACGGGGGAAGGGAAGCCCATCTCAGAGCCATGCATGTCTAATAAAAAGAAAATAAAGTATTTCTATTTATAAGTGTTTTTTTAACTTCATTTGTAAATGAAATAATTTATTAGAAATCAATTTAAGTATTGCTAATTTTAATTTATGTATTCTAAGTATTGCATTTAATGTGTTAATTTCCATTTATATATGCTTAGTATCATACTTTTCTCCTAGCTTTAATTCATATGCAGTAACTATTATTTAGTTACATTTGATTTTCATACAGTTCATTTCTGCTAACTTTATGCTAAATATCATGTTTTTCCCTTCTAACCTAACCAATAGCTTTTGCATAAACATATACTATAAATTTAACTACATGTGCTTAATATCACTATTTTCCTCCTAGTTTTAATTCATATACACTAAATATCGTGTTTAACAAGATGTATTTGACTTACATATGCTTATTATCATGCATTTGCAAAAAATGCACTCCCATTAATGGGTTCTTTATGACAGTAAATGCAATCAAATTTTTGTAATTATATTTGATAGAATCATGTCTTCATGTCTGTTAATTCAGTATTTGGGGATTTCTGCTATCTGTAATTATTCTTTTGGTACAACTCTAATATACGCCCTAATTTCACCAAATGTGGTGATATGTGTTCTGCGCTGGTTTTTGGTGCGATTGCGTGTTCTATGGCAACCCTGTTGACGTTGAAAAATCTTTCGCTGGAGCTCGTTGCTTCGCCTCTGTGTCTGAGAAGATGGGAGGGAAAGATAAAATGGTAGTTGTTGAATTGAAGTTTGGCAAAAGGAAATATGATTGTGGCTATCCTGTTGAGGGGTAGTGGGTATTTGGAAGTGTGGAAAGAGGGTCTGGGAGATTATTTTTAATGGCAGTGCATGATAGAAGTAGGGATTTGTAATTTTATTTATTTGTGAACTATAGTATAAATTTTCTGGATAGTGTGTCTGGTTGTGATGTAAATACGATAGTAATTACGTGGCGGCATGTTAAAGGCGGTATGAAATTTATATTTCTGCTATTCGAAAACGCATTAATTCATGGTAAGTGCATTTTATTTTATCCTTGTTCTTATTTTGTAGAATGTTATGTTCATTTGTTCTTTTAGTATGAATTTCTGTCGTTATTGTTTGTTTTTTTTAAATTGTTTGAAATTTATTTTAGTTTTATTTTGTTGTTTAGTGTCTAGACTGTATAATTCGTAGATGTTTTTTAAAGTTTGAAACAGAACGCTGTGTACATGGTATTATTTGAAATTTATTGTTGTTATGTTATTTTATTAAAGCGAGGAGTGCGTAGATCGTAGATTTCCTTCCTTGCCTAAATTGTGCAATTCGTAGAATTTTTTTAAAGTTTAAACAGGATGCTGTGTACATGGTATTCTTTGAAATTTATGTTGTTATGTTAATTTATTAAAGCGAGGTGTGCGTAGTTTGTAGACTCTTCGTTGCCTACATTGTTGCAATTCGTACATGTTTTTTTAAGTTAAAACATGTCGCTGTGTACATGGAGTCTTGTCAAATATTTTTGGTTAGAAACTTTACGTTTTTGCTATCTAAATTTTTTTTTTGTTTCGGATTTTTAGCTAAATTGTGTGTTCAAAACGTAGTTTTTGCATGTGCGAAAACCGCGTTTTTGGAGACATTTTAGGCTAAAAGTTCAAAATGTAGACAAAAAATTTAGATAGTAATATGGCAGCGTGAAGTTTCTCGCCAAAAATATTTGGCGACTTGAGGGCGCATATCAGAGTAGTTCCATTCTTTTTTTCCTTTTAAATAAAAGTAAATAAATAAACATATTCTTTTTTCCTTTTAAATAAAAATAAATAAATAAACATATTCTTTTTTCCTTTTAAATAAAAATAAATAAATAAACATATTCTTTTTAGTATAAAAAAAAAATAAATAAATAAACATTCATAGAGTATAGCACTGGTTTGACAATAGCCTTAGAGAGAATGGTGTCGGGTGCATTTTTGCTTATTTACTGCATGTATAACTAAAACACATTTATTATAAATCTATGAGAAGCTCTACACATTCTTTCGCTGCCGGTCATGTGAGTTTGTATTGATAGTTATTGCCCTAACATAGAAGTAGATTGTACCCAAATGTCAACTTATAAGAAATACGATTTAAAATAGGTAATAAAAGATGATATATGTATCGCACTGATTGCTAAGCCTTTAATCAAAGAATTTTATGACTGTGCCAGTGGATGGTTGGCATTAATGATGAAATTATTTCTTCAATGCCACATTATGCACTGGTGTGTGGGATTTGAAAATTAATCAAAATATGTAACAATATGCTTTATTTTTGGATGAAACTGTGTTACAAACAAATATATATATATATATATTGAAGATGAATTTATTACAGGGTAATAACAATGATATTATTGCAAATTATATATTTAAGAATATTATTCATGTATAATCTTTGCATAAAATGAAATTTTTCTTTAATCCACATAAATCTAGGATTAGTTTCTAACCATTGCTGCATGCCAATACCCCAGCACATGACTGGTTCTTCAATGATAATGCCACATGATGCACCAGCTTGTGATTTGCAGTAAACATGTTAACAAAAATAACAATTGATAATCAATGTTAAATATTAAAGTAAATATTTAGAAGGCAAGTACACTAATTGTCCTCATTATGTAAGGATCTTGCTAGCATCAAGGGTCTTTCTAGTTGAGAGTTTTAGAGTGGTGTACTTGATGTGTCTGAAACATTTTTGAAGACTAAATTTTTCATGCCTTTTGAGTGTTTTGGTTGTGTTGTATGTCCTCTGATTTGTTATAGTCAAAGACGATATCACAGGAACTTCAGAATCATTGATCGGTCAGCTTCATGAAATTGAGAAACTTCAAAGACAGACTCAATGCAGATCACTAAAATTTGTTCACATGACCATGACGTTATGGCTTTTATAATGTCAAGTGGAGGCATTATTGAACAAGTTATTGCTTTGTTGTTTATCTTGCCTAGGAGATCAAGAACTGGCACACTACATTCACAGTCAGGACTCCTTCACCACACTTCTCATAAGTGCTAATAGATGGCAACATTCAAAGATTGAAAGTGACACAAGTTAGCTTCATGCCTGGGGACTGCCACATCCACAGTCTAATTCAGATATAAAACTGATCAAGAATGGGATGAAATGCAGCAACTCTTACATGTTCATATTATTTTCTCATAGCAGCTTAAACTATCATTGCTGGTTTGAATGCAAAATTAAAAAAAAAAAAAAAACTGTTTCTGTATGTATACAGTGTTATAATGAAAAATGGGTGCTTATGTACTAATCCCACAACTGTGACAATTGGCTACCATCAAACAAAGACACCACCAAAGTTGTTTCAATCATTCCTTGAGAATTCTGAAGGAACCGATGCCTGTTTATGTTGTAAACAATCAAGATGTGACCCACTTTATTTTTGTGCTTTGAAAAAAGACTTTCATCAGTTTTTTACTATTCTATTAGGGCTCTTAATTTTACTGGAAGCTCTGTCTAGAACACTGCGAGTACAAACTTCTTACAGGTAAGTGTTCCAGTCCACTACTGTTTGCTGGCCATATTCAGCCGATCATACTGGGTCCATTAATACACAATTTTGTTTTTTGGTAGGATCCTATAACTTTGAAAATAATCTGCTTTTAAAAAGCAGCTTCCCAGATTTTAATCAGTTTTTCCAAAATAAAGAAAAAATGCAGCAATAGCAGTTAATAAATAACTTTGTTCATGAAAACAAAATATGGCTTTTCAAGAATCACTAAGATTACATCAGACAATAGCTGCATATTATGATTGTGTTGTTGCACTAGTTTATTCATAATTAGCACAATTCTTGAAAAAACACTGTAATATACTCTACTTGTGCTGTTTTTTTTTTTAGGGGGAGGGCTGCTGTATCATTGCTTGAGGCTAAGCTGAAATATCAGAATCTTTGTTAGAAAGTATGCTTTAAATGTACGATACAGAATGCAGTGTAATTTAATAGTATTTTATTAAAAGGTGATACTATCTTTTTGTGCATAATTTATCAATTAAATTGCACTATTTTATGTATGTTGCATGGTTATTGCATTATTTATTATGGTTGATATTATCTGCTGTTTTGCATATTTAATGTAGGGATTGGGCAAATTTGTTTTGAAAAGCAAATAACAATTAATAGATAATTTATTTACTAAGATGTATATAATAGCAAAAATTCATAATAAAAACTGTGTTTTCCTACTTCAGTATGAAAAAGGCTAACAATGCTTTGAATTCATCAACTTCCAGATCAATTAAAATCTGGAATGTAGTTGTTTAAAAATTCAGCAGACTGTAGGAGTTTTTTTTTTTTTTTTCAATGGAAAATTCGGCAATTGTTGCAAAGATCATTTGAAATTGTTGCCTTAGTGCATTAATGAACATACATGTCTGTCTGTTATTGATTGGGAGCCCACCAGCGGCCGAGCGGTAAAGTCGCTGAAACACTGGTAGTTCGGTCCGAGGTTCGAATCCCGCGAACGGGCTGGCTGCATGGGCGTTTTCGTGGTTTTCCCCATGTGTAACGTGTATACGAGCCAGTTTCCCTTAGAAAGTTCTCCACGAAGGCATCCCTCCTCTTAGGCAGATAGCCCTCGAGGCTTTGCCATAATCACACACACACTGTTATTGATTGGGATTTAAAATTCAAGGTAAATTTTATTTCTAAATTGATTAATAATACATAGACAATATGAAGTAAAGAAGACTGTGGTGCTATTACATTTGCATTATTGTTTTCATATAGGCATCATTTTAGAGGCATTTTCCATTATGCTGTAAATTAATAAAAAAAACCGTGCTTTTGTGGTATTGTCATTTTTCAGATTTCATGTGGCATCACACTGGGTTGATGAAACAACTTTGAAATGTTTATGGAGATTAATGCATACTGTAGACATATATCTTTTAAAATCATCAATATTTGAACCATATTAATTCAGAATGTGCAGAATCTTTTTTTAAAGGTGTGAAGCTCATAGGACCCAGAGAAATATTTTGGAGCCTCCAGTTCTTTAGTGTGACTTTTCCTTTCTCTGTTAGATGTGTAAAACAAGAAACTCTGAGACTATATATCCAGGGATACTTTGAAACTATTATGAAAAAAAAAAAAAAAAGTGTGAGCTGTAACATTGATTAAGTTTTGGATGATAACTAATGGAGGAAACTTCGATGCTTATTGTTGTATCATTGAAAAAGATGGTACCTGTTGGGAGGAAGGAGTTTAACCCCTTAACTGCCGCGGGCGTATATATACGCCTTGCTCAGCCGATGCGTTAACTGCCCCGGGCGTATATATACGCCCTTCCAAAATACTATCAGTTGCTTTGCGGTGCTACCCCGTAAAATTATTCGCAAACCTTTGGAATGCAACACCAGAATGACCTTGACGAAGTATGTGAAGGAGGATATTATTTCAGAGAAGTGTGGGGAGAAATTGGAGAGAGGGATGTGTCTACAGTGCTGAAAGTGATGACTGCGTGGTATTGGCTAGTGTTGTTTGAGTAAAACGTATTTTTTTTTTTTTATTCTGTGTCCTTCGTTTTCATTTACTTTTTGTAGTAGGTTCCAGGAATAAAGAAAGATATAACGGATGTTTCAAACCCATTTATCTTTCTTGAATTATTTTTTGATGAACTGCTCGTGCTTTATATTGCTACTGAAACTAACCGTTTTGTAGACGAGTATATGAACCAACAACACCTTGCAAACGAAAAAATCACGAACAATATCGTGGCATTCAACCAATTCAGAAGAAATATATGTTTTTATAGGCATACTGATTTCACAAGGTATATAACACTGAAACATGATATTACACTTTACTGGTCTAAAAATGAATTGATCGAAACCCCATTATAGGGACCTTTTTTATTATAAAAACATCCTTTTTATTATACTTACATCTTTTTATTATATTTTTACTCAAAATATTAAATTTTGTGCATTCATTTTTTTTCTTTTACTGTTTATTTTGTGAAAGTAAACAATTTTTAGAAAGTAAAACTTGCTCTTATTTTCCCTCTAATAAATCGCATAACTACGCGCGGATATGTGAAAAACCGTGGCACTGGGGAATGAATCTTGTGCGTTTTCCGCGGCAGTTAAGGGGTTAAACAGTTGGTTGTTTCAAAAATGGCACATGTCTGACAAACCCTTAACAAAATAGTAATTATTCGATGCTGTATTTACATGAAGAGAGGATTAGACTTGAATTCTGTTGAGTCATAGCTTTAAATATTGAGCCTGAAAAAAGTAATAACTTATTTGTAATTAAATATCTTTACTTACTTTCTCATTTATCATACGGCCCACCAGCGGCCGAGCGGTAAAGTCGCTGAACACTGGTAGTTCGGTCCGAGGTTCGAATCCCGCGAACGGGCTGGCGGCATGGGCGTTTTCGTGGTTTTCCCCATGTGTAACGTGTATACGAGCCAGTTTCCCTTAGAAAGTCCTCCACGAAGGCATCCCTCCCCTTAGGCAGATAGCCCTCGAGGCTTTGCCATAATCACACACACACACATTTATCATACTTATGTTGGATATTGAAATCATCATATTGTAGCTTTTTTTTTTTTTTTCTTAATAGGTTCTTGGTGGAAGTAATGATGTTCATGCTAGTGTTCTTAAGAAGCAGCTTTCATTTTTATGTGGTATATTTTGTTTCTATCATGGAAGTATAAATAACATTCTTAAGGTTTGTTTACTTTTTTTAACATGCCCTGCATAACCTCTTATAATAAATAATACATCCGAAAGTTATCCCTCATATGTATATTTTTGTTTTATGATTTTTTGTTCACAATCTCAGTTGTGCTAATTAAAAAAAAAGTTAAACTTATAAACATTTGTGTCAAATTGTACTAAAAACTGTAGTAGTCATTTTTATTTAATATTAATAATCTTAAGTTTTCTAACATTTGCATTTTTTGTAGTTTGTAATATTAATAAGCTTCTGAGCAATATGCAGTTTAAGTTTAATTTTGTGAAGATCCATTGTGAAAAATAAAATTTTGAGTCATTACCTACGATAAGATTTTTAGTACATTATGGTAAAGTAATTATTTTAGCACAAAATTTTTGTAATGTTTATCAGTTATACAGTACAAAGTCTGAAATCCAAACATCCATTATCCGGAATGATCTAAAATCCGTAAACAAAACCACCAACATTTTTCTCGTAGGCTTTACGCATGCACATTTGATTAACCCCTGCACATAACAAAACATCTGGAGAGTACGGATTCTTAATTTCACTTCGAGGCTAATCTTTGGAATATGATAATAGGTAGTTTGGCGATAAAGGTTACTAGCTAGGACTTTAGCAGTGTACATGGATAAAGTCAAGAGTATGTGCAATGCCATTTTTGTGCAATTCTGGGATGTTTTTTTAGGTGAAAATAGGTCAGTGTGTACATGGATACCGTGTATGTGCAATTCTTAAAAACGCAGCAAGCAGTTTGCGATTCTGCACTTTCTCCCAATTTCGCACCTAATCTTTGTCATGATTAAGCATTTTTGTTCCATAAAAGTTCTAGCATAAGTATAATTCGACTAGCAGATTGTTGGAAAAAAATGTTGAGTTAAAAAAAAAAAAGCATTTACTTCATAAAAACAAAATGGCGTCCAAACAAAAACTAGCAGGGTTGGTTGCCAAATTTTCGCCAAAAAACCGCCAAGTTACGATAATCCAAAGATTAACCCACTTCGACAACTAAATAAAATACCTTGTTTTTGAAGAAACAATCATTTTAGCATAAATTTGTATGATCGGTAATTTGGCTCCGTTCCTGGGTACCTGCTTGGCACATATCTCAAACCGAAACATTCCACATAGATATATCAATTATCTGATGCCAACCTGGGGAATCATTATTTATTATACTTTCCTTTCATCACTGTATGTTTTTCAAAACATGGCAGCTTGAGTATTGACTCATGTAGCAATGCCTAAACAATTTTTTTATGTTAGTAATTGAATAATAAAGGAGTATGGTAACCTTTTATGCTGACATTATGCTTGGCGATGATTACAGATTTAAGTTAAATGTGCTAAAGTGTGTTGACGAGGAAAAATTTACCCAAAATTTCTTTCCATATGCCAAAATTAGATTTTGTTGATGAGACTCAAAGACTCATAGACCCATTTAGGACTATTTGAATTAAGAATAACTGATTTATTATTCACATAAACCCAGAACCTGCACCAGGGCTCATGTGGCCATACCAAGTCGCTGAATTTAGGGCTCACAGAAATTGGCACTGGCTCTCAATAAGGGGGGGGTATATGTGGGAATTTATTCAGAACTCTGATAAGTCTTAAGCATGTGCAAGAAATAGACTAATAAAAACTAAACTAATACAATTGAGGCTTAATTGTCTCAGTGTGCGATAGAAGCAAGAGAAAATTTATAGGAACAACTTCTCGTTAGTCACCAAGCTCATGATGCATAGCCAAATATGTATAGTGAAGGATAGCTAAATTTGATGATGATAGCCGCTAATTTTAAAGGTTTTCGAATATCGCAAAACAAAGGTGAAATTTTCCAATTAACGGATTTTGTAAAGAAATGTGGAGAAGCAGTAATAAATGAAGATGATATAAAGTATAGTTTTTCATTCATCAGTCAATTAATGAATGGCAAAATCTGTAGTATGGTTCTAGATCCAGAAAATACCGCTACCGATAGGGAAAAAAGTGACAGAGAAGTTACTGAAGATGAGAAAATTTCAATTGACAAGTTAGTCAGAATTCTCGAAACGTTAGTTACAGGACTTGAACAATATAACTGAACAAGAGATTATGCCTGTCTACATAATTAAAGAAAAAGTATTAGCACAAAAAACGAAGCAACTTAAACAACTTACATTGTAATAAATATAAGGTTTTTTTTTTCGTAAATTTTGATACTATTAGATTAAAATTTACAAAAATTAGATTTTAATTTTATAATTTCTACATTTCTTACTGGATTTAAACTGATGATCTAATATCCGGAAAAATCCACGAGTCCAGATTTTGGACTTTGTAATGTGTTACTGAAGAGTGGCCTGTGAACTTGTACTTTAAATGTAGGTAAATTTCAACTTGAATTGGTATTAATTTTTGCTAAATTAGTAAAATTAATGTATTTTCTAGAATAATTTTGTCGCTTTAGAAAGAGCAATCTGTGTCTGATTCTTTCAAAAGGTTTATAGATCATTTCTGTAAAATTAATGCTAATATAAAATTGAAATATGCCTCATTTTTAATATATAACTGACATTGTAGCCATATGAATTGTTTAGGAATGTAGAAACAACAGAAATGAATTCCTGGCAAGATTAGAATTAGCTTGGTCTCGCTATATCACCTTCTCTCAGTGCTTTGACAATGCACTGAAGCTATCAATGAATGCTCTGCCATTGGCAACTGTCCAAAAAGTAAGTTGGATTTCATTTCATCTTTCCTATATAAATGTTATTTTTCAAACCTCGTGCCCATTGATTTCAAACCATTTTCAAAATAAGTTTCATCAAGTTGTAATTTTATTAGTTGTATTTTAATAATTTTATTGTTTCTAATTAATTTCATATGTTATGCAAACTTGATGAGCATAATTTTGAGGAAAAAGCAAGTTTATGACTTCTATGTTCTTTTTATAATTTTTGAAGAATTATCATTCTTTTTCAAAACTAAAACGCTCAATACTCCTTCCCGCTTCTTTCTTTTATCTCCTCTCCCCTTTACATGCCTTTCCGTCTACATTCTTTATTAGCTTAAGTGATGTATTTTTGGAAAAACACAGTCTAGTTTGCTTTTGCTCACTGAAGACAAGGATTCTTGTAAGATTCCTTAAAATGTGTAAAGCAATTTTATAAAACCTAATCCAACCTAATCCATTTTATCTGGTTTTAAATATCTGTCTATTTAAGTAATTTTGAACTTTTTATACAACCTATTATTGATATACGGAATACAATTAATTTATGAAAAATATTCTAAATGATAGTTTAATAATAAAAAGAAAGTTGCTTTTGATTGTTTTAGGTTGAAACATCATGTGCTGTTTTTCAATATAACACACAGTCCAGTCTGTGTTAATGGCAGTCTAAATGCTTTTTTTTTTTTTTTTTTTTTTTTTTTTTTAATGTTTGATTCCTCAATGATAGAAATCTACTTGCTGTTTAAACCTATTAATTATTGACAAACTCTAAAACTTTAAGCTAAGCTTTTATTAAGTGTGCTGCTTCATTGTTGCAAATGAGAACAATGGCTTTGCCTTTTTCATGTTTCTCTTGATTGTTATGTCTTTGTAGAAAAACCTTTCTCTTTAGCAATAAGAGTAGACATTAATTATTATATCCTTTTGCATAAATCTTGCAAATAACAAGAAACTTTTTCTAGTTTCTAGTTTTGCACTGTATTTACACTAGAAAAAGACAGAAGTATGGATTTCTCTGCTGATAGTGCAATTTTAAGTTTGTTCTATCTGAAGTTTTTATATTCCAGATAAAAATGAAGCTGTTGAATTAAAGTATATCTATTGCTATGGCTTACATTCCCACTGAATAATGTAAATGCAATTACTAAAAATCATTTCATCAATCTGCATGGAAATGTCTACTGTGATTTGTATTAATAACCTTTGTTGATCAGCTCAGGCAAATCTTGTGCAGACATTTTTGAATATTTGAACCACTGCCATCATTTTTGTGACACTATGTTTGCTGCATTGCAGTGATAAATCCAGCATTTTGGTCTGGGGGAGAAGCTGAGGTCCTAAAAATTTTATATTATCATGAAAATATAAAAGAAGAATATAGAAAAAGTCTCTAAATGTTACTGTTACATTATATAGAAAAAGTCTCTAAATGTTACTGGAGTGAATCATAAAGGACACTGCAATATTTTTTTATAATTAATTTAACACGTTGAAATAACTGGCAATAAAATATTTTTGACTGTGCCAATGCTACAAGTAGAATGCCTACAAAAGCAGGAAAAATTTTCAGCCTGTCAAGCCAAAAAGTAATGTTACCACTTAAAAAAAGTCAAAGTTTAAAAAAATGTTATTTATTTATTTTTAAAAGAAAATTAAGAACAAGCAGGTGTAGTAATTTTAAATAATCAAGAATTTTGGTTAACTAAGGGAGCTACAGTCCCATAGCCCCGTCCTGAATTTGCCTGTGCTATATTGTACATAATACCACAATTTTGCAATGAATCTTTGTAAAATTGACTTATTTCACCAATAAAAGTTATACTACTACTTGTACTTTAGATAATTTTGAGTTCCAATACATTATGTACCATTTTGCCATTCATGCTATTTTTCCCTCTTATCACTATTACATTGAAATTGTCTATTTAGAAAGGCATGGACATGAACACCAGTTTGTGCTTGCATCTTCTTGTGCAATTCTACCAAGTACTATCAATTCTTGTGCAATTCTACCAAGTTATAACTTTTTTTTAATCCATATAAACCATACTCATAATATTTTTAAACTTAAAAAAGAAATAACTTTTCAGTGTCTAACAGGATTTTTGTAGTTGAATACAGTTCTTCTAATTCTAAACTTCGATTAAAATTAAGAATAAAATTGTGTTTTTATTCTCAAATATAATAATGAACAAAAAAAGCTTAGATACAAAAAGTCAAGATATCTTTTTTTGAGTTTTTAAACTGAAAAAAAAGTGTTAATGTCAACTAGAAAATTTATTTCTTTGCCTTCAAAGATTTAGAATACTGTTAATTATTATGATGGGTGACCAAAATTTCATGCACAGTAGTACCTCCCTAAAAGGGACATTGGACCAGACAGTTTTGTTCCTTAAATAGAGGTGTTCCGTCTTCAGAGGGTACATACTAAATTAATGTAATTATATAATTTGATTAGAAATTCAGCTTTAAATAAATTATCTTTATTGGAATAATCTTTGAATTCCTTATCTTTAAATAAATGTGCCAAGCTTTATATAAATGATATATAAATAAATAACATAGTCACGGGTATTTATTTGAATTTGAAGTTAATGAAAAATCTTAGTTAAAAAAGTTTAATTATAGCAAAAATGAATGAGATGAACAATGGACTTACAGAAATGTTTTGCAAATAATGCATTACATAGGTTTGTTTTGAAAGTCTGTACATTCATTGCAAGCATTTTTTAAAATTAAAATTATTAATCATTGATAATTAATGGCTGATAATCTTGAGTTATTCACTGTCATCAACAGTTATGAATTTTTTTTAATTGGAAGATGTATTTTAAGGCATCTGTATAATTTTTTATGTCACACTTTTTTCTGAATTTTCTTTGTCTTGCACTGCTTTTAAAGCTTTCTTTGTTAATGCTTACGTCATGAACTAAAGTTGAAATAAAAGATTTCTGTCATTATTGGTGTTTTCAGTCAACAAGCTTTTATTGATTTCTAAATATTCTTGCATTTGAGCACTGCTGCTAATTTTGAAAAGTTCAAACAATTCATTTTCATCGCTAGTATTTCCATTTAGTACTTGAAACTGGAATTTCTAAGCCTGCTTGCTTAAAATAATGCTGAACACAACTTTGTGATGTAGATTTAACAGCCTTTGTTATCCATTGAATGGCAGCCAATATATTGACATATTTTACTAGCTGAGCAACCAGCTTGTCAAAGAACATGCCATACAAACAGTGATCTGTAATGTAAGCTTCTAAAATTATGCCTTGGTCCAAAGACTGTAATACAGATGTTGCATTTGCTGGGGAAAAAATGCTAATTTCACTGATTTCAGTTTTGTGTTTGGTGGGTGGGTAGGTGAATTGTCAAGAAACAGCAGAACCTATTTATTTTTTCTAGAAGTTCGTCAATAGCAATCAACCTTTCTGATAATATGCTTTGTGTCTTCCGTGACTTTGTATTATTATGCTAATGGACTGCCAATGGAATTAGATAAAAGTTTTGGGGTTTCTTTGTTTGAAGCATCTTGGTTTTTTTCGCCTTTCAATTTACAAATAATTGCTCAAACTTTTCATTCATGTCACAACAAAGCAGCACAGTGACATGGTCCTTGGAGCTTTTATCACCAAAGCACTTTTTCCTGTGAAACATAGAGTTTTATTAGGCAAAATTCGATAAAATAATCAGTTTTCATCTGTATTGCAGATATTTATAGCCTCATATCTTTCACAAATTTCATTTAGCTGTTTTATCCAATCTGTTGCATATTATAAATCTATTAATTTTCCTTCATCACAAATAGTCTTGACAGTAATGTTATGCCTTTGCTTATATTTATCTAAATAACACACAAGTAGAAAATTACACTTCTTTTCCTTCTCAGTTCTAGCAAGAACTAAGAATAATAGAAGTTTTCGTTCTAGCCGCATTGTAAGATTTGTCCCTTGGCATTTGTCCTTTAGCCGCATTGTTCCTCGGCAGATGGTCCAGTCATCTCACTACTTTTCTTTGCCATTAGTCCCTGTCTTGGATTGCCTTAACTTGTTAGCATAGTTTTCTGCCCACTGCTGAGAACTGTATCAAGAATAACTGGATTTTAAATTCTGGGAATGTGAAATATCTTTTTGATTGCATTATAACTTGCTTTTTCGCAATATGTTGTTCTCCTTTTCTGTACTGAAAAGCTGTTTTCAAAAGAGAGGGATTAAATATACATTTTATGCCTTTCACTGAGTACAAACCTTCAGAAAAGATTACTAACATTTCTATTTATATTTATTTCTCTACCTCTATCTTATTTTTGAAACCTTTTTCAGTGCCCTTTAAATAGAGTGCCCTTAATAAGAGCTAAATATATTAAGTTCCCTATTCAAAGGGACAACTATTAACAGAATTGTCCTTAACCCTCTGAGCGGCATGACTGGCTTGATTCAATCATATGAGTTTTTGTCACTCGATATATATTAGCTTATAATTTAAGATATTTTCCTTTCGTATTTTCTTTGATAATGTAAACGTCATCTTAATGAATATAAGTTTATGAAAATAGAGACTAAAATAAGTCATTGTACAAATTTAGTTTATCAATGTTGTTTAAACACAGGTCTTCATGACAGATCCAAAAACATGCATTGCTCAGAGAATTAAATAGATGTGTTCCTTACAGGAAGTACTACTGTAATTTCCTTTACTTCTTATTCAATCTATATAAATGTTTCACAAATTCCATTATTTATGGTTTAACTTTGAAACATTTCTTTCTTATGCAGTGATATTTCTGGAGAATTATTTAAAGATAAATATTAAAACTATTAATGTACTATTAAAAATTGATTACATTTTATGATCTTCATTTACTTCATGTTTGATTCACTTCTGTTTTACTACAAAAGTAAACTGTTTTATGTTAAAAAATTTTGTAAATTTATATTTGTCTGTGGATTGACTGATGGTAAGGAAAGAGGGATACAAGACTCTCAGATTTTATATCCTGGAATGGTGACTGTCAAATTTAGATGAGGTTTAGGCTGAATAGCTTTCTCTTTGTTTTGCCTAAAATACATAAATTAATCTTTATTTTTTATGTGAAATTTTGTATATAATAAATTTTCATAGTTTTTACATGATGTCAGGGTTGCTACACTACCTGGAAAACCTGAAAAGCCAGAAAACATCAGGGAATTTAAATATTTTAGTTAAAATCTGGAAAAATCAGGGAAATTCATACGTTATTCTCCCCAAAAAGCGATTTTTACACCAATGTTGGAAGCAATCACTTTTCTTGATGAATTATGTATCGCATGAGCGTCATTCAGACAGCTGGTGTAGAGCCAGTTTTCGTAACTCCTGTCAGATTGTCTTATAGAAAGGCAAAGCAAGTTTTCAACAACTTTGGTAACCTCGAGAATTGAGAGATTCGCATGTGTATATATAGTGCATGTTGAACAAAAGAAACTACCTTTCCATTCTCGTATAAAACAAAGTCGGTTCATTGCCAGTGTACAGTATGCACAGAATTTGACAACATTATAATGAGCAGTAAACCGAACATTTATGATGAGCTGTAAATAGGCGATTTTGGTGTTGGAGATAATTTTCAAAATTGTGCCAAGGATGTGCCACATACTAGAATTTTACCACAAAATCTGTTAAAACTTTTTTCTTTTTAACAAATGCCTTATTTATCATTTTGCAGTAAAATAAAAAAATAGTAATCGATCATCTAGGCTAACCATTTAATATAACCTAACTATATTCGCAAAAATATCGTTGGTTATTGTAATTAAATTTTTAAGTAATTAACTTTGTTTTAATGTTATTCGTATTATTTAATGTTGCTTCTCTCCTATAGATTTATTTATTATTAGTCCAAAGGGATTTCAGTCCCGAAGGACTATTGCTTTCGTTTTGGCATTTTGCGTCGGACTCATAAACGTCGGTTCACTTTTCAAACTGTTGCCACAAAATGTTAGAGTCCTGCATTATATTTGAAGAAATTAAATAATGAAAATCTGCAAAAGATTGTCTTTTCTCGCATGTGATAAAAACATGGTACATAGAGCCATCGAATTTTGAATGACGAAATCCTACTGCGAATATGGGCATCTGAATCCCAAATTTGGAATTGTTTTTTATAGATTTTATATTTTGTAAAACTTTAACGAATTTTGATTTACAAACTCAAGCTTTTAAAAGCGAGAAATGGCAACGTTATATAGAAAAAAAATACTTTTATCTCCAGCTCGCGGACTGTGTTATATCGGAAATTCTAAAGATATGTTAATTTAACATTATTTGCGATATTGTCTTGAACTGAATTTTATGTTAAGTGCAAAGAACATGATATTAATAAATAAAGGTAACACTCAAAACGTTTTTAAAAAACGCCCCTTTGGACGTTAATTTAAAATCTGAAAAATTTCCGTTTTATTATTATTATTATTTTAGTTAATAATATTTTCAAATTCCAGGCAATTTTCTCTGGCATACTTCTGCAACTAATTATAGAAGTATGATGACATACCATCACGAAATTTAATGCACATATTTTTTGCTTATGCAGGCTGCTAAATAAATGTAAAATACCTGAATTTATCATAAAATATCATTATATTTCTTTGTTTCATTTAGCTGCAAAATATCTCCAAGAAAGATATTTTTTAATCCAGATTGGGCAGATTCTAATCTCAATCTTCAGTGGCGAAAACAACTGCTATTATAGTTATAATAGTAATGCTTAGGGAAAGCAATTTTGTCATATGTAATTGACAAATTTTTGTGTATTCAAGTGGTACCACAAATAATTTACCTTCCAGCACAGCCAACAAGCATTATGCGGATTGACTGGAATTTTTTTAACACACACCTGGAAAAGTCGGGGAATTTCATTCTCCTGTTTGAGTGACTACCCTGTGTTCTTTTATGAGTTTTCAGTTTCCATGCAGCATTCTATTATGCTGTATTCATTTTAATGAAATATTAATTTCTTAATTTTTCTGATTTTGCATGTATTATTTTTGTGACAGAGTACTCCAGTTGCTGGAAAAGCCAACCAGTTGTTGCACATGTGCCAGATGAGTTCTTCAGTAATTGCAGGAGCTGTTTTCTTGAACAGTAGGTAAGAAATAACCTTTCTTTTCCTTCTTTTAGACTGGAGTTAATTTTTAAACTCTGTTAAAAGTGCATGCATAAAGCTAAATCATATAAAGGACTTTTGTATCTACAGCAAAAGTGATATCTACCTTTCTGTTTATATGTTGAGGCAAATTTTAGCAAACCCTTTTTCTTACATTAAAATTCCCTTGTTAACTTATGATATACATCACACTTAATTAAATTTTCATTTAAAATTTTCTGAAAATTGATTAGTTAGTTATGTATATTGATAAAATGCAAAATAGAAAATTTATCTGTCATCTAAGGAAATAAATATTTAGTTTAGTATACAGTAGATAATTTTTGTAAAAGTATATTTTAGGGTACCCCTTGGCAAAACTTGGCGATTTTTGGTGGTGCATGGATACCGAGTTTGTGCAATTCTTTGACTTGTTATTTGGCTTATGCGAGCGGCGCGATTTTGAGCAAAAGTCGCCGGTTACACAAAGCCAAAATAACAAGACAAACAATTGCACAAACTCGGTATCCATGTACACATCGACCCATTTTCACTTAAAAAAAATCCCAGAATTGCACAAAAATAGCATTCCACACTCCCTTGACTTTGTCCATGTACACATCGATATATTTTCACTTAAAAAGTCAAAGGAGCTCGCAATTCTACATTAGAGGCAAACAAAAAATACATAATCTCAACAAATTACATTTTAACCAAACAATAAAATAGCATAAAAAAGGAAAAACCTCCTATACATTTAAACGCTACACAAAGCAAATATTGACTTAACGTTTTTTAGAAATTTTTTCGTCTTCAGTCTGTGGCACACAAAATTCCTTAACAGCATCCAAAAACTTCCTAAAATTATCTGAACTCGAATCCATATATCAGTGTTGCCACATAAATTACACTTCACATAGTGACCATCTGAACCTTTCTTCCTACAAACCCATTGAAATCCATCTGAACAGTCTTTACATTAAACCAGACGCATTTTCTTCCGACATACAGGGCACTTATAATGGCTACTAAGTAAACCTTCATTTACACACCAGTCAATTAATGCTCTTTTCCCCTTTTGTTCCGAATCGTACAGAAACTTCAAATTAATCTTAGTACATTCCGCCATTCTACCATCTAAACAATAAAACAAAACCAACACACACCAGTAAAGCACTTACAAAACATCCCATGATTCAAAATTTCCCAAAATCATGTAGCTGATTATGTCATAGTAGGTTTTCCATAGCATTCAATTACTCAGGCTACCATAATGAAACAACAACTTCGCGATAATACAAGGGGTACCTTGAAGTAAACTCTAATCATAATTTTTAATAGAAATTTCAATATGTATTGTACTTTTTGTAGTTTGTTGATGTTTATTCTCGATTCTTTTTGTAAAATCTTATTCTGTATATTAATGTTGAAATACAGTCATCAGAAAAAGTTATGTTCTCAGAAATACATGTTGTGAAACATTAAAGTGCTGATAACATTATGAAAAAAAGAGACCACATCATCTATAAAAGATTTATTGGTTCAGTCAAAGCCAGGACAAGAGGGATTCAAATGAGATGCTTCTTTCAAGTGAATAACTAGAAGGAGCACCATGTTACTTACAAAAACTTAGAAATTCATTTTAGAAAAGAAATTGTGTCTGTTAATTGTCAATTTTGAAACATAAGATGCATGTATGCAAAATGCATCATATTTAAAGCAACAAAATTTTGTTAAAACTACTTATGATAATTTCAAAGCATTATATTCTTGATAGTTCTTTCATTCTTTATCTGTATGAAAGGCAGTTAATAGAAATCAGGCAATCATGGTTGATAATCTGATTTCCATTAACCATCTTTTTGGATAAGATGACACTTTTCAGTTTACAGTTGGCACAGCATAACAAGTAGCAAAATTACTTAAACATGAATGTACTCAGATTTCTTTAATATATACTTGTTTATTAATGGTTTCAATTAATTCTCTGAAAGAGTTTAAAATGAATTTTGTATTGTAAACAATCCAGCTAAATTAAAAAAAATATTAATAATATTAATTGCTTCTTAAAAGGAATGCAGTTTCATTATTTTCTAACATTAAAATTTATTGTTAAAACTAGAGTGCTGAAATTAATTTTCGTTTACAAAGCTTTCTTAGAGAATACCATAGAACCAATATAGAACACTTTTTGTCTCTGTATAATTGGAAAAAAGTGTTCCTAAAATTTGTAATAATAGACCTTATTTTATTAAAGTAATTGTAATAAAAATGTTTTTAATTAGCATTTTTATTAAAACTTTCACTAGGGTTTAAAAAATGCTGGTAATAACTAAGGGTCTTAAAATAATTGTAATCAAAGATTTATTTGACTATTAATGGCCAAATAGATAAACTCAGTGAATGCTGCTAGGTGGGGTTAAGGGTTCTTTCACATTTTTCCCTATATATAACATGAACACAAAGTTTCCTTTAAAGAAGCTATCCCTATGAAGGTTCTCTTTAAACAGAATCCCTTCACCTATTTTCTCTTAATCAGTCTACCAAACTAAATTGAAAACTCATTTAATTATTAGTTATAATAATTTATTATTACAGTACAAAGTCTGTAATCCAGACATCCATTATCCGGAATGATCTATAATCCGAACCTCTAAGCCACAAACTTTTTTTTTTTTTTTTGCTTTACACATGCTCGTTTAGCACAAAAAACGAAGCAACTTAAACAACTTACATTGAAAGAAATGTTTAATAAAGTAAACAAATAAATATTAAGTAAGTTTGTAAATTTTGATACCCTTTACATCATAATTGCTCTTTATTTCATAAATTGTGGTTTCATATTTTTAATTGTATAATTTCTGCATGCCATCTTACCAGATTTAAATTGATGATCTATAATCCGCAATCGCCGAAGTCCCGACGAGTCCAGATTACAGACTTTGTACTGTATTTAATGTGAGACACATAAATCAGCATCTTGCATTTTTTATAATTTTCATTTTGTTATTATTACTAAACATTTAGTATAATGTATATAAAGCATGCAATGAATAATTGTTGCAGCTTCAAATAGTAGCACTTTGAAGCAAATCAATTAAAAATTTTTATGTATGTTATCTCTATTTAATATAGCTCTAAAAAGCAGAAAAGGTAAATGAAAATGAAGCAATCAAGTTCTGTTATTGTTACCAAAGTTATACCCTTATTAGAGTGATTAGCACCAGTGTTTGGAATTTCAGTGAATAGGCCAGCTACTTGACTGTTTTCATATTTTTCACACGAGTAATATAAATATGAGCCAGTCCCTATCAGAAATTTTTCATGAAGATATCCCTTTCTTTAGGAGAGAAGTATTTCTAAAAATGTTAAAAAAATGTGAAAATTTAGCTTTAGGTATGATTAAATCAGTATAATTTAAAGAAAAATTGGGGGGCATTAATAAATCAGATTGCCGAAATTTAAGTGATAAAGAATTAATTTTCCAGAAAGATATTATTTCCTAATAGAAATGAAAGTTATAATAGATGTTCTGAACAAATGCTAGTATGAAAAATTTGTCAGATCTCTCAAACAAAATGCTAGGAATCAAATCATTTTTGAAAATAATAAACAAGATTACAAAAGCAGTAAAAAGTAAATCATAAGAAAATGTTTGAATATTAATGCAATTCTTTTTACATTAATAATATTAATATTTATACTATTTGAGTATCGTTTGCTATTTACAAAAAAGTAATTTTTCAACTTCATTTTAAAATTAGTGTCATTTTCTGAATATATAAAATTGTGATTAAAAGTATTATAAGAGCTAGTCTATCATGATTTAAAGTCATTACCTTTGATAGGCATAAATTGCACACATGTAATTCATTTTACTGCATATGCAAGGACACACATTTATCTCTATACCTGTAGACACATCTGGGGATATGGTTTTAAGTCTGGATCCAGAATTGTTGGGACTTTTGATGATTCTAAATTTCAGAAATTTCTGGTTGATCTGTTTGAATTTAATAAAATGGCATGTAGCAATTTTAAAATTAAAAAATATATAAAATAGTTGTTTGTAAAGTAATAAAGCATTTATGACCTTAAGGAAATCAAAATTTACAAAATAATTAAATAAAAATAAAATATTTTTTTCATTTTATTAACATTCTTTCAATGTAAATTATTTAAACTATTTCACTTTTTGTGCTAGTACGTTAATTTTATATGCAGATATAATTTGTTGTTCAGTTACAAAGTTTCATTGTTCGGGTTCTGTAATTCCCATATTGAGAATTTCCACTAATTGTCAGTTAAAATCTTTCCATTCCCAACAACCTCTTTTTCACTTTCTTCACTATCAGTAGTGATATTTTTTGGATTTGCTATCATATTAGGGATTTTTATATTCATTAACTGATTGGGGATTGTTATCGCAATGGAAAATTTTTGTTTTATCATTCTCATCTCCATGTTTCTTCACAAATTATATTACAGGTCGCTTTTGACTTTTACACATTCTGCTATATTGCACATTTTTAAAAATTGAAATTTTTAAGGACTTTTGTATATATTATAAAAATTATAATTTAAAACTGCAGCCAATGTTAGTTTATCAAGCAGAGCTCCCAGAGCATTGAAAGGGAAAGATAAATAATTTCTTCCAGTTATTTTAAAATAAAATTTTAAAAATGCTGAGTGATTTTATGAAATCTGAAGAAACTTGAAAACTATCCCAGATGAAATAGTTAGTCTAATGATTGAACTAAACTTGGACGTCAACAGCGAAGATGTTAATGAGTTGATTGAATCTTACTCAGTATCTCTGTCAAATAAATACATAATTGAGCAACAAGAGTTAAATGAACTATGTAGTGAAAGTGAAGAAGAAGAAACTGATGAAATCCTATATACTTTGACATTCAAAATTATGAATGAAGCCATCATGCATCTTTGAAAAAATTTGATGATTAAGGAAGAATGTGATTCCACTGGAGAACGTATATCTTAAG